TTTATAATCACCCTTCAGGTATTTGAAGACTTTTATCAAATCTCCCATCAGTCTTCTTTTCTCCAGATTATTTAATCTCAGTTCTTCTACCCTTTTCTCAAAAGCCATGCTTCCAAAACCTCTAGTCAGTTTTGTTGCTCTTCACTGGACTCTGATTTGCTAATGTCAATCTTGAAATGTGGTGCCCAAAACTGGACACAGTATACCAGCACACCAAGCTTTAGAAAACCTGGTACATGCAAGCTAAGGTCACATAATAATTATGAACCAAGTTCAGCTACCCTGCTCTAAGAATGGCCACCTGGGATTTCCTAGAAGAAGGTATTCACGACTCGATCACCTCTATGTACATCTCCAGCACCTACTTCAATACGCCCTCAAAATGCTTCACAGGCTCAGGACATGCAATACCCAAACACATGACACTGGAGTATTAACTATGGTATAGCGGACGCAGCTTGGGACAGGCTGCATCAAGGCTTACAATGACATTAGTGACATCCTTGCAAGGTGGTTCATTTTCATAATCCTTAGTGGGGAAAGTGTGGTTTCACATAAAGGAAGAGGCATATTTTCAAAAGTATTTGGGAGCCTCAAGATACGGCGGTACCTGTTGTTTGGTCTAGGTTCTTTTGAAGATCTCATCAAGCATCTCAAAAAATCTCTGGTCCAGAATGATTTGACTCATGTCACAGAGGGAATCAGTGCCAATTCTACCACTAGAAGAAAGCAGAGCTGAAGAAGTGAGATGGTAACCTTTAGACAACAGATAGCCCAAAGGTGAAGAGAGAACTGCCCCTCACCTTCTTTAAAATTGCTGTTTGCCTTATTTTTATAGTGTGTCCATTACCATGGTCCCATGCCCATCACCATGGTATAAAAAAATACAAACTTCTCATGTTGCTGAAGAGCAAGAGAAACAGTGGGAGGTTTGGTTGGACTTTTCCTGAGCCTCAAGTGCTGAATCCTGCTAGAGACAAGAGCCACAACTGATCAGACCGGTAGTCTCGAGGGGTCCAGCAAATTCTATGTGTCTAATCTAAATTCTCTCTTTTAAGCTCTGTGCTAACTGGGTATTCATCAGCTGTTAGATGCTTCAGAAGCTGCAGAGTGGTCAATGTGCTTCCAGCCTGAGTATCAAGGGCCAATCAACTCTTTTGTTGTTTTAAATTACATGCTTGGCAAAGCCTGAAAATAATTGGAGACTATCTGGAAGAAAAAAAAAATAGAAATCTGAAATCAAACAGCATTAGCTTCCAGCACTCAGACTCAGCCCTGACAAACAACACAACAGCACTGATGCTTCCATTGCAAAAAAAACCACATTAGCTCAGGATCAAGAACTATCTTTGTCCCCTCCAGAGCCTGGGATCAGTGTAAAGAACTTATACCAACGTCTCATATCACTGAAGAGCAAGAGAAACTGTAATGGCCAAAAGACAGCCCAGACTCCCAGTCAGCCGGCCACAGTAAAGAGCTTACTTGCCAAAACCCAACCAAAAGGCATCTCTGCTTCCGTGTAATATTCCAGTAAGGATCCTGATCTGCTGACTGCAGAGCCTCGTATCTGGACAGTAAGATGCTGTGTTCTTCCTTTTGCCCAGTAAACGCCAGGATTTTGGCAGGGTATGGGACTCCATTTTTACATGCAGTCGTTTGTACAGGTATCACAGCCATTGTGCGCTACATGATGCTATAACATATATCGTCCCAGCAGCAACTGTCTCTATGTCAAGACAGGGGTGAGCTGGGAGACAACTTGGGGAAAAACACTGTGCATGTGTGTGTGCATTATGTCCTGTTTAAGCCTGGACTGTACCAGGTCCAACCAGTAATAACACCTACAAGGCTTTTTCCTTCCACCTTCCTATGTCTCAGCCCAGAATTTGCCAGGATAACCATCCGGGCCGTTGAGTTTAGGACACAAGTAGCTACAGGATCCTGAGCAGAATGGAAAGCGTGTATACCCAAATGCATTGATAGAGTTAAATTAAAGGTAACCAAGATATTACAAAACTGCAAAGTAATTATAAAGGAGGCAGAAAAGGGCCAGCAATTTTAAGCAGACAAGAAGGCCCTCTTAAGAGAAGAAAGGCAAGTTAATTAACCTCTAGACATGATTCAAAGCATCATTTGTAGGATGATTAACATAATCCCCCAAGTGCAAACATGCAACGCGCATTAATGATCATTTGCAGAGCTGAATGCTTCCCCGCCCCTTCGCAAAATCAGCACATTTGAGGATGGAAACATTTGAAATGCAATAACGGGTTTGCCGGTGCACATCTTGGGAAGTGGGAGGACAGACACCCGTGGCAGCTGGCTGGCTTCCCACAGCCCACGTACACACATCTTTCCCAGACAGGCTATTAGCATCACCCTGCAAGTGCTAAATGCTACCGACTTCCAGTAGAGCCCACAGCTTGCAGTACGTGGCACTTCACCTCCGAGCATTATAAAAGCTGCCTACTGGCCAGGCTTGCCAACCTTAGTGAGTTTACCAAGAACCTTGTGATATTTTAGAGTGTTTCCCTTTAATCTCCAGATCCTGGAGACAGGTGAATGAGGGAATCTCTGCTTTCATTTACCTCTCAAGGTTGAAGATAAAAGGCCTGAAAATGTGACCCGAGTAAATCCAAAAGGCTCAGAAAACAGAAGCAGACACAAAACACGCTAAATTTCTCCCTGATCCTCCTCACAAAAGATGTCATGATTTGTTAAGGCCTGACTCATGCCTGGAGTTGACAACACTGGACTTCCCCCAACTTCTCTGGGTTTCTGCTGTCCAAGGCGTTCATAAGCCTGATCATACAAGAAAGCCAAAGCAGCTCTGCTTCCCCATGGAAGATCCTAGGCACTCTAGCTGCTTATACAACCATCACCAACAGCCTCTTGGTAGCTGGAAGCAGTTAGGAGGGCGTTTTCTTTCCGTTACACTGAAACAAACAGCTTTGTTTGTATTTTGTTCATGATTTTTTTCTGAAGGGTTAATAAAGGTGACCGAGGCATGTGACTAAGATCTTCTGTATCCTCCCTCCACCCCATACAATGGTATTGTTTGCTCTGACTGCCGTTCCATTCAAGAAAGCTCAGAGGCTTTGTGTTAAGTTCTTTTCTGTATTTAAAATCATTCTTAAAAGGATATTGCATCCCTGAGACACTCTGTAGTTGTTTAAATGAGTCACTATTATGCTATGTTCTTATCGTCTAAGTTTTGTTATTACTTGGGAGTGTTTATCTGCATTACATTTGCAAACATCTGAATAAAAGTCAAGTTTTCAAAACAACGTTATTTTTGTTACAAAACCCCCTTCCCTGCACAAACAGGAAGGTTTCTGTATGGTTAGCTCTGCTCTGTGCTCTGTATTGTTTATTAATGGCCATCTTAGGGACAGTCATCAGTAGTTAAGCACATGATTGCTCATGGAGCTTGCTTTTTTGGAGAAAGAGCAGTTTGATTTCAAGACAGACTGAGAAATTCAACAACTAAATACCTCATTGCGTCAGGCGTAAGGCATGACCTTCCCTTGATTCACGCCTTGTGTTGGGATCCCTGCAACATAGCAGTGCTGGGCAATTCAAAGCTCATCTGTTTGGAAATCTGTAGCAAAATTACAGTCACAGCCCCCAGTGTAACAACCAAGGGAATAAAGGAAAAGGAAACAAGATCAAGAATAAAGGTAAGAGGGTATACTGCTGGCTTGGTGCTGAAACCCAGCTTTATTTTTGGTGCATTTCAAAGAGCGCATCGTGTGTGGAAAGCTCCTTGTCAAACAAAGACATGTGAACAATCCCAGACAGAACTCGTGGATGGGCTGTCCTGAATTCTAAGTAGAGTTTCCCAGGGACGAAGAACCAGTTCAGATCTTCCCCCTGAAACTTTGTGTTTTCTGGCAGCAGCAGCAATGGGTAACGCTGAGTCAGAGAAAAAGACATTCACATTCAAGTCAAGGTTTGGTTTTCAGAGGTGCTGCATACCAAGAGCTTCTCTGCAAAGTGCTTTCAAGAGACAATCATTTTGTGCACCCTTAGGTAGAAGACCTGGCGCAAAAGAGGTGGTTGGGTGCTGCTATTTCACCAAGCAGCTGCCCAGGGAAGAACAAATGTTCTATTTCTTTTCCCATTTTCCTTCTACGCATTGTAACAGGTGCACCCAAAATCTGCCTGCCCAGAGTCAGCCCCCACCTATGTTACACAGTAGCTTCAATTGTCCCAGCAGCATTCGCAGCAGTCCATGGGACTCAGGAGTTTAACCCCGAGCGGACCCGTCCCCACACTCTGATTCACGCGACTCTGAGCAGGTGCTCAAGCAGCACAATTATGATCTTTGCCCAAGATTTCTAACAAAGCCAGATTAAAATGGACTGGAAATCTGTCAGCGGTGTGCCTCGCCCAGTGCTGCTCCCAGTCGCATCATCTCAGAGGTAGTAGCTGCCTTCAGACCCCGAGCAGCCCAGCCTGCCTGTGCAAGGGGTCCTATAAGTCCTATAGTCTCTCCCCTTGCAGTTGAACTCAGTCCCCCCTGCTCCTCCCGAAACAGATGCTGGTACTGGCACCTCCCAGAGCCTGCCCCGGAGCAAAGAATTTTGTGCCCATCAGGTTAACTGAAGCACTCGCAACCTTACGTGAATCCAAATGCTTTAACTGACATTAGCAGCATGTGCTAATGCTGCTCCTGGCCAGTCACCAGAGCTAATGGGACTTGGGCCTGATCCTGATGGGGATCACCCCTGGTGACTTGGAGGCAGCAGTGCCAGTCCCAGGGAGATTTGAAGCAGCCCCTGGAGGCTCTGGAATCAGATCCAGGCCCCCAGCCCAGCCGGTGGGACGTGCTCCTGAACCCCCAGAGATGTACTGCCCAGCTGGGCAAGGCTGCAGCTGTCAGGCAGCCAGCCTGGGCAGGGAAGCACGTCTCTCAGCAGCAGCCAAGCTAAAGGTGGGAAGCAGAGCAGTCCGGGGGGGCTTAGTCCCCCCGACCCCCACACACCCCTCGCACTCACCTGCCAGGAGCTGGAGGGGATCTCGTTGAACTTGCCCAGGCCCCCGAAGGTGTAGCAGCTGTACATCTGCTCCAGCGTCTCGGAGCAGTGCCAGAGCAAGCCGAAGCTCACCTCGTCCTGCGCTTGGGGCAGGGGAGGCTCCTTCACGATCCAGGCAGGGGAGAGGAAGCTGAAGCTGCAGACCGCCACCAGGCAGGAGGACAGGAGAACCCAGAAACAGCCCACGCAGCTGAACATCCTCTGAGGCTGGGGAAGGGAGCCCGCCGGCAGCTCCAGCCCGGCATCCACGCCGCCACCCGCTTTCTTCTGCCGATCCAGCAGCGAATGCATCGGGCCCCCCGCCCGGGGCAGCCTCACCGCAGCCCGGGCACCGGGGCGCCCATGGGTGTGGGG